TAGAAGTCTATCCAGTACTTAGGTTTCATGGGGATTTTTTAGCTGAATTTTAATTTTGTTTGTCGTTTTCATTTTGTATATTTATAATTTAATTTTTTTGGGCTCAAGATAATATTCACTTGGATGGAGGTCGGTCCTTTTAATTAGATTTCGTGGACCTGAGCTTTGGAGACTAGGTTTACTGTGGAAAATATTTTGTAATATTATTAGTTTTTTCTCATGATTTTGTGAAGTGTGAACCAATTGGGGAAGTTCCACTAACCCAACACATTCGGTCAAACAATGAAGTTGCTAGCAAGTAGCAAGAATTGGGCGGTACTTTTTCAAAGGTAGTCCTATTTATGCATATATATATATATATATATATATTTCTTTTCCGCCTCTCCCAGTTTGTGAAATTATGATAACCACATTGCCAGCGAGAGATCTAAAAAATCTTACCCAACTTGTTGCATTTTGACAACAAATAAAAAGATTGACCCCACCACCACTTAGATCCACATGAGAGCTACAGAGAAATAGTTATTTAACACATCTAGCTCCATGTGAGGAGCATATAGTCCTCCCAATCATATGAATCAAGTGTAGGAAATATATACCTATTATATACAGATTTTCTCTTATGCAGATACCCTCCTTATTTTCTTTCTTGTTTATAGCGTCCGCAGATACGTTAGATACGTTCTTTATTTTCCTTCCTGTTTATAGCGTCCGTAGATACGTCTGGATGTGAGAAGAACTACTATTATATATATATATATATATATTCTCTAGACAAACGTACCAACCCTCTTGTTAGCTAGGAAGGATATGATAGTTAGGGTCTTCATACAATTATGATCATCAAAGTGTCATTGTCTTGCTTCTAATAACATTCGAACCTTATTTTTCAACTGGGTGTGTCTCATGCTCAACTTAAAATAGGAATCTATTTCAATGTTTTACACTGAACCCATTTCTCAAAATGGGAAGTGGATAAGAAGAAAATATTTGAAAGCAATAAGCACCATGGAGATAGAGTGCTGATTTTCTTAAGGCAAAGCTCTTGAGAAGCTGATGCACAAACTAGGTGGTTCTGAAGTAGTGCAAGTGGCGCTACCGCACACGACCTCTGATTTTTTAGGGTCCCGAATTTTTTTCCATGTGTATATTAATATTTTACATATAGTATATATCAAACATTCAGGACATTTACACAAGCGCTTGTTTGGTTGTATTGATTTGCAAAGCTACTTGTTTTATTTGTGACGAAGGTTTGAAGCTAGTGAATGCGCATCAATGGTTTTATTTTTAAGTTATTTTTTTATCCAGTAACCCAAAAAAAATAAAAAAAAATAAATAAGGGTGTTTGGACTCTCATGTGGGCCTATAGATAGTAAGTTATTTCTTTTTTTCCTTTTCCTTCTCTTGGGATTTCTTTTTCTTTCTAGTAAGAGGTTTCATATTTGACACTTTTCCTGTTATTACCAAAAAAAGAAAAGAAAAGGAAACACATACAAAAATAGAAGAATTATGTGGTATTTAACTTTCTCAAATTAGAACGTTAAATCCTTTCATAAATTCTTGCTAATTGATGATGATTGTTAGTTTTTAAAAAAATTGTTCTCTTGCATTAAGTAATAGTTTTCTTTCTTTGTATCTTTTTGTTAGATTATATGAAGGCTCTAATGTAAGTTTCGCACAGGGCCCTCAAAATTTGAAGACCGGCTTCTTTCGTTTATACATGAACATACCGACACTACTATGCATATTTTTTATTAATAGGTAAAATAAAATTAAAAACAAGGAAAAACAAACATCACTAAAGGTCTATGGTTTATTTGAAAATGGGATGATAAATTTACTTATATGTTTATTTTTGTGTATAATAGCGTTCTTATGACCAAATTGACTTGGTTGAAAAGTTTGGAGTTTAGTAAATGGAAAAAACAATTACTTAAATGTTAGCCTAAAGAACACAAGAAAAGGAGCCGGGTAAACTTTAGTTTGAAAGGGTCAAAAAAGGTTCGGCTTTTGACATCAAAGAAGAACTCTACAAAATCATGCGTTTGGTTTCACAACTGCACCCCTTTGAAGCCCTCTAAAAGAAAAGGACATCCGCTAAACCTAAATATATAGATTTTTTTTTTTTTTTGGCGTAAACTAATTAATACCAAACTTATTGTCATTAACCTAAAGGTTGAAGCCACCCCTAGGCTGCTGAATTGAGCTCGAGCCCAATGCAAATGGTAAAAAATGATGAGTTTAGCGCTCACATTTACTCCCTTTGATCTGATTCCTAGTTTTGAATGTATTTGATTAGGGATTTCAACATGGAACTCTAATAATTTTTCATTCCTTAGGTGTAAGTCAATGCATGGGAAGTAAGGGAATAAGGAATTAGAATGATTCTAATACCCATTATTGATATGTAAACATATTAGGCTATCTCACACGAGCACTTTTTTAATTTTTTTAATAAAAAATACAGCATATTCCTATGAAATTTCCTTACTCTACCCTTGCTTAGGCATGATTTAAATTTGGTTAATTATGGGCTCCGATCAATGTTGAAATCTAGGGCATAGAGATATTACTTGCTTGAACCCCAAAATCTCTTATATATGATGATGCAAACTTTGAAAACTTTGACAAGGTAATCAATGAAGATGTACATTGACCATGCGATGGAGAGGGGACCTCTTTAGCATCTTCTACTTAATTGTAGGTCCATGAGAATCATCTATATCACTTCAAAAAGGGGTATCTGTCTGTCCTTGAGAAAACTCAGTCACACCAAAATTCAAATCGATTGCCTTGAAGACTCTTATATATATATTGATTCAAGCAAACAACAACAACAAAGTAACTAACTGGGCAGGGCATATACGAAAAAACGTTTCGTTACTCGGTTGGTCAACAACTAGCTTGAAGCCATCGGCAGCCAATTGGGTCGAACTACTGTAATTCTGTGCACTGTTGCATTCAGAAAACAACATATTATTGCAATGCCATTGCGTAACGTAAACAACGTATGCAACAGTGCTTTTCTACCAACTTGATGTACCTTGTCCCCATATGTTGCTTCTTGTTTTTCCCTTCTCCCATCATTACTTGTATATATGTATATAGTACTTCAGCCCTCAAATAATGTTATCTAAGCGATTCAGCAAAAACATTATATTATTTTTCAATAAAAGGAAACTATATATACAGAATCGAGTTTGAAGGTATTAATTTGCACGATTCGGGTTTAATAAATGAAATGAAAGAGCTAGCTCTTGACTTTTATTTATTTATTATAATCGTGTGAGACTCATCATACGACAGTGTTTTCTTGTTAAAGAGCAAAACAGCCCCAGTCTAATAAGTTTAGATGAAAGTATACCGTTGTTACTAAGCTAATTTTTCTTATTAATAATAATAGTATAGATTTTTTTTTAAAAAAAAATCAGTTTTCCAAGCAATTTTGCAATACAACCGCGTAAGACTCAAATACATTTAAGTGATAACAATATTATAGGCCAGACGTAGGAATAATTTTTCTGTTTTCTTCTAGCTTCTGTTTATTTATTTATTTTTCTTTTCAAATTTATATGGTTAAGGAGAGGAAAAGAAAAGAAAAGCATCTTTAATTAGTATCCAAGTAGTTCTTGTCACAAAAAAGTAAAAGAAAAAGAAAAAGTAGTTCTGCTAGGCTATGAGATGGAAATAATGCATGCCTATAACCTAGTAGGCAAATTGTGCTCTTATTCATGTGGTGGACCTCAGGAAAATGCAGGTGGGGTTTCTTCTAGATAATGAAATTGGGTAGCTTGTGGGTTTGTGATCAAATGGGGTCAACAACAAGAAATTAGAACAGTTTCCCCACTAGCATATGGGTGATTTTGTGACCATATTGTTTAACGTTATATCAGCCTCAAGTCAAGCCCACATGTGATATGCCTGTACCTAAATTATTCACAACCAAACAATATTTTATATATATAACACATTCTGTCTGTGTTTCAGTGATTTCCTATAAGCGGGACAACAATAGTGAAAACCTTGAAAGTTTACAGATGCATTACTCTTTGTTTTGGTTAGTCAAGTACTGTCAATAACGAAGGCTCTAATGATTTGCTTACCTCAATTTCGTATTAGTAAACATGTTCTTAATGAGTTCATTTCATCAAGAACTGTGATACAATTTGGGTGGCCTGTTGCTTACTTATTTACTTCATAAAAAACGTGTACGGTAATAGAGAATGCAAAAGAGTTCTAGTATACCTATTACGTAGCAGTATTGGTGGGCTCTACCTCTATATTAGAGAGATAGTACATAATGCAGTATATAAATGTGGTAAGCCTAGTATTACCCTAATGAAAATATCAAATCAATATAATACTATAGCTGCCTCTAGTTTTTCTTAATCTTTTTTAGTCATTAACTAATGATGTGGTAAATCCCTTTTTAAAAATAATAATATATTGTTACTAGGCTTTATTGAAATGGTGTGGTTAATGACATGTATTTGGGATTCATAATTTTGATGTCTATATAAGACCTGGCCTAACTCAAAAAACTTGTTTCTCCTAGTGTGTTCTAAACTCTATAAACCGACAACCAATTTCATCCCTCGTTGAAGGCCCAATCCTTAGCCCAAAACCTCAGCTTCCTTTCTATAGTATAAAAGAAAAATAACTCTAAATGAGCTTTCAGCTGATCCCATTTATACAAGGGAAATTGGGGAAATGGGGAGTTGAACATATGATTCATTGCGGGATAAAGCAAAACCTAAACTCTTGTCATGTGTGACATAACAATTTTCTTCTTCTTGCTCGAATTCCTCCCAATAAGAAAAAAATAAAATAAAATAAAATAAAACTGTCTTCATCATGTGCGTGACTTCAAAGGATTAGGAAACCTCAAAGTTAATAAATGGCTAAATTTAGCACAAATTTGAAAAATGAAGGCTGATATTGTTGGGGTCATTAATTTGTCTTTTGACCTAGTTGGCAAAAATCAGTCACACTTCTAAACCAGAAGCAATTTTAACTGCTTACCGCGTCGAGTTTCCACATCAATGTCATTTCCAATTATTAACACTCACTTCTTTTTCACTCCTAAAGTCTTCAAAGATTGAGTGGCAAGTTGACCATTATGATAAGAGAGAGAAAGAGAAAGTTAAGATAAGGGAGTGAGGCAATGGTAGTAAGTAAGCATTATGGTCCTTTTCATGTAGAAGATAGACATAGAGATATGAGCATTGAGAGAGAGAGAGAGAGAGAGAGAGAGAGAGAGAGAGAGAGAGCAACGAGAGGCCGATCGATGTGTATAAGTTATAATCAGCTTTGTTGGATTAGTGTTGAGGGCTCTCTCTCTTTGTCCTTGAAAATAAAAAGACAAAGGGTCAACTCACATATTACCTTTTCTCATAGTTGGTTAGGTCTTTAATCATGGGGTGCCATCAAGAATATGGAGGAACATGAACCGCATTAATCTTCCATCGCCAAGTACCCACCCAGCTTGGCACTTGGCAAGACTAGTGCCAAGCTAAAAGGGTTTCGATTTGATATACATATGGGTAGTAAATTCGTGATTGGACATATTTGTTTTACAATAATAGACAAAAAGGAAAAAAAGAAAAAAAGACAATGAAAACTTCCTGTTGGCTTTAGGGTTTATCATCAATTTCCAATAGTTTGCAACCATTTTATGGGTTGGGATCCTTGGGTGGGGATGTGTGATGCACTAAGTCCATTCGAAGAAAGAAAAGCCCTCATGCCCGAGACTCAAAGATTTAGATTTTAGATCTCTTGTCAAGTCCAAATGGTTGGGCTGTCTTTTTGCTTGCACTTTGTTTTGATTGTTTTTCTCTCAAAAATTTGCAACCATATTAACCTAAGACTTCATTACTCAAAGGCTTCGAAATCCAGTTTCAAAACTCAACATCACCAACTTCATTTGGTATATATAGCGGCACATAATTTCCATTTTATTGAAGAGAGTCTTGAGTTCAAACCTAAGAGCATTTTCAAAGGATATGTCAAATTGTCATGTGGTTATGAATAGTGGGCCAATTATGAGACTTTTGTGGTTTTGGAATGCGGTGGTGTACTCCTTCAATCTTCCCTTCATTTTTCTTGTTTTTTCTTGTGTTTTCTTTCTCCTGCTTTTTTTACTCTTTGCAAGCTGGTTATTTCCTTCATTGTGCGAAGAACTATGGTTGCTATCATAGGAAGTTTTCTTTGACAGGTTCTGGGAGGAGTTGGAGTATCTTATGGGGTTGTTCTGTGTTGCCTCCTCTGTGTTTTTCTTGGTGTGTTTCTTGTGGCTCTGAACCTTTGTGTGCCGAAAGGACTATGACTGTTCTGATAGAAGGCTTTCTTTGACAGTTCAGGATGGTTTTGGTGTGCTTTCCTGCATGATCCTTTGTGTTGGTCTTCTAGTAGTTTGGTAGTTTGTTTTTCTTTATTTATAATGGTTTAGTGATTTTGGGTTGGACTCTTCTGTTAATCCATGATATTTTTGGTACTCTTTCTACCCTAAGGTTTTCCCATGCGGTTTTCCTAGGAAGGTTTCAATGAGGTTATTGTTTTCATGTTGTCTTATATATGTATAAACCTATTGGATTATGAATGAAATCCCTTTTCTCTATAATTTTTTTTTATTATTTTAAAAAAGTCTTATACACAAGGTTGTTGTTCCAAGTTTATTTCAACCTAAAACAAGCTAGATGTGCTCCAAATTACGTCCGAGTACAAGTTAAATTAGGCAAGGAATTGGATACATAATAGGCATTTATTTTTATTCATCATTTGGAATTTAAATATAGTACACAAATGTGATCTCCCTAATATTGTACAAATAACAATCCCATTATTGAAGGAATACAAATAAGGAAAGAAGGAAATGATCCATTTAAACGTTTATATTGTGAATAATAGGACTTCTTCAATACTTCTTGAGAAAACTTTTGAACCAGTGTGCTGAGAGTTTTGGGAGTCTTTTCAACCTATTATTATAATCCACAAAATTGATACCAAATCGAACAGTGTATCCAACATTCCATTCAAAGTTGTCTAGCAATGACCATAGAAAGTATCCCTTAACTTTGACACCATTTCTAGACAAAAAGGAAAAAACATCAAAAAATCAAATGTATTGATTTCAATGTAATGGTTTAATAACCCAAATGTAAGGAGGCATGTGGTAGTCAATTAGAACTTACTTGATTGCACTTTGAACATAAAAGAGGTGAAGCATGTGGTAGTCAACTCTCTTGGTATCATAAAGGGCTTCCTTGAGTGATAATTTTGGATCATTCAACTCATCAATGCCTATACAATATGTCCATTATTATATAGTATTGAATTAGACATTATAGCAATTAATTGTATTTTACACAGTATGTATGTGAAACATTGATGATGAAATTAATTAAGGCTAAAAAATTATTACCATTCTCGGTAATGTAAATGATTGGATCATTGTACTTTTCCTTTGTGTAGAGTAAAAAATCTTGAATTCCTATTGGGTAAACATTTAGCCAATCTGAAGCACTCTGCAGTTCCATTTGAAGATAATTGAGATTTATAGGAGTTACATTTATAAGTGAAAAGGATTAATCATGGAATTTCTAATAGCTTAAGTTAAAACTTCACTATTATTACCTTTACACCAATGGGGACTCCATTGCGCTCAGCTGCCACAACATATATTAATGTTAAAATGTGATTATTCTAGAAACTTAGATTGCTTGAGATAAGTTTTCAATTTGTACTCACATGTAAGATTCACACGAGTATCTGTTATGTAGCTTGCATGTACAGAAATATTATGAGATGCATCACTTGCATAGAAACCATTATAGTAATTTAGTCCAAGAAAATCAAATGACCCAATTAGTAACTTGGATTGTTCTTCTGTGAATTTTGGTAATCGCCCTTGAACAAGAGACTGCATGATGTGCGGATAGTTACCACTTGTTAATGGCTCCATAAACCTACAAAACAATGGAATTCCCAAGCATGAACTTAGTATTCTATAATGCACTTTTTGCTAGTAAATGTTATATTTGTAAATAAACATTTAACTGAGTTGATATATAGATGACAAAAAGTCACTTTTGATCCATTTGTTTGTCGGATTTTCTAGTTCGTCTATATGGTTTCAATTATGAAGATTGGACCCATGTAGTTTGATATCCATCGCAATTAAAGGACACATCCAAATTTCCATCCAATTATTTGAGTAAGCATGTGTCCCTTACGTAGATAGGTATTTTGGACAGAAATTTTTGATGTGTCCTTAAATAACAACCAATATCAAACTATAGATATCAAGTTCCCTGAATTAAAACCACATGAATCAAAGTGAAAAATCTGGCAATCTACAAGGATCAAAGTGACCCTTGCCCTATACACTTGCCATCCAAAAGTAAAGTCCAAAGCTCGTAATGCAGCCTTTTGATCTTCATTTGCCTCAGAAAGAGGCACAAACCAGGGTGACACAAGCGTAAGTCCTATCACACCTTTTTGAGATGCCTGCAAAAGAGCACCAATCTTAGTTTATTTAGAGCTAGAAAAATGGACAACCTTTGTTTATCTCACTATACAAAATTTTCCCTCTTATATTTCAATTTAATACCACTCGTATAGAATTCTCAATTAGGAACCAACATTCTGGGAAAATAAAATAAAATAAAGAACTAATGTATTGGACCTGAAATTTATTCTTATACAAATTTGCAGCAGCCGCATGAGCAAGGAGGAGGTGGTGTGTCACCAGATATGGTTCAATAGCTGAATTTCCGCCTGTGCAATTTAATTTTTGCCAAGTAGAGCATCGTCCTGGTGCCATAGAGCCAGATGCATAACCATTGCTACTATAGGTATATGGCTCATTCAACGTGGTCCAATACTTTACTCGATCACCAAATTTCTTATAACATAGTTCTGCATAGTCTTGAAAATGATTGCTGTATATACACATTTTAGAATATGTGTTATAGTAGTATGTATTTAATGATCTATATTTTATAGAGGATAAAAATTTTCACTTACACAACACGAGGGCTTAAAAAACCACCATATTCGTCTTCTAAAGTTTGAGGAATAAAATTTGATTGAATAATAATTTTTATGAGTGCAGGTAATGTGGGATGATTCACCATTTCGAAGGAGTTCATTGATTAGATTGTTGTAGTATGTGATTCCATCCTCGTTCACACCGTCACTTAACTTTCCACCTAATAATAATTATAACAAAAAGCAAGCAAATAAGGAAGTAACTCAATCTACAAATAGAAATTAAACTAATATTCGTGGCCTTTTGAAGTTCGACTCTAATTCAATTTGGTTCAATTCTTTCAATGAACCCCTTTTAATTGAGAACAAAATCTTGGTTATATTCTACGTACTGTAGACAATAGGATACATTACTTGATCTAAAAACACAAAGGGAGAGTAAGTTTACGCAGGAAAAAAAGCAAGAAGAAAAAAGTACAAGGAATTGTTATGGATAATAGTGACGATTGGTCCAAGCCAAAGATGTCAATGCAGATGATGAACTTACTTGGTAACAATCTGGACCACGAGATAGAGAATCTATAAGCGTCTAACCCCATATCTTTCATAATACCCACATCTTCCTGCAGTACAGAACACAAAAGATAGCATAAGAAATAAGGTAAAAACTAAGGATCTCACATCTTCAGGCTTCAAAGCTCAATTCGTATGTACACAATGCGACTTTCAAGTACAAAAGGGGAAGAGAGCATTTTGAACCTTATACTTGTGATATTGATCAAGAGCGATGTCTCCGTTACTGCGATCAGCAATTCTTTCTGCAATTAATCGTAATTTTTTTTTAATTATTTTCGAAAATTCACAAAAGTGAAAAAAGTAGCTTAACTAATTGATTATTTGATTAGATAGACCTGAATGATTGTGGGTGTAGGTATCCCATATGCTTGGTCCTCTACCACCTTCACTTGCAGCACCTTCATACTGAAATGTTACACACACTAGTACTGAACATGTCAATATATATGTTATGCATGGATGCTAACTAATTGGTCTTACATTGAAAGGACTAGAGGGTACTTCATGACCTGGTAAGATCCTGAAGCTGAGCCAAATATGAAACCTGGTGGAAAACTGCTCCTGTTGAAGGGAGTGTCAATATGAATGGGTGGAACTGTAAGAGCAGCTTCGCTATTTGTCAATGCAAAGCCAATTAGTAGCACCACAACTAAAATCAAAGACCTGCGTTGCATTTCCATAACTGGGTGTTTGTGTTGATCCAGATTGATTGCCTTTACCTGGCATATAGCATGGCATTTATATAGAGGGAGTACGTGTTGAGATAGCGTCTCGAATTAGTGATCAAAAGCAAGTGAAGTTTATTTATTTATTTTAGTTTGAGTCATATTTGCGTATGTGTTTGGGATTACTTGTTGTTTTGGTCTTGGGTATTCACATGGATTGCGAGTAGTGAAATTACTTAAGTGCGTGATTGAAGATGCTATTTCCTCTTCCTTGTAATTTTTTGCTACTTTCTTGGTGGAACGTTGCCATTAAAGCTTTTTTAAGAAGTGATTAATTTCAAAAAAGGTAGGGAGAGTGCCAGGGATGGGGGGGTGAGTTGTTTTTGGGGAATAATGTACACGGTTCTTTCATGTTCATTGAAGCTTTTTTTAGAAGTGATTATTTTTATATTAAAAAAGTAGGGAGAGTGCCAAAGAGGAAGGGGTAGCTAGTTATGTACACACACGGTCCCTTCGTGTTTGAAGCTTGTTTTAGTGGCGATTAGTTCGGGCAAAAGGGGGAGGGATTACTTTAGAGGAGAGAAACTCTCATGTAATGGAGATATTACTTTTTGTCATTCTTGACTAATAACACAATGACATAACATAAGTGATAATTTCTCCCTGTATACCTAAACAAATGGGTTGCATGAGGGAGAAAACTTTGTTATTGTAAGTAGAGGTGCATTTAAAATTTGGGTACCTAAAAAGTTTAGTGAAGTAGAATTTTACTTAGGTATCTAAAATGCTCCTGCTTTCAATTTAGATTTATTAGAATTCTACTTAGGTACTTTCAGTTTAGAGGTGCTTAATAATACAGTTAAGTTCAATAAAAAAATAAGAAAAATCATAAATTAGAAGTTAATTAGGTACTTTGTGCTTGTATAGTTTCAATAGTTTCGATTAGTTTATTAATTGTTGCAATTTTAGGATAGCTTATTTCTGTTTTTTTTTTTTAACAGAATCACCACGCCTCACAACATATGCGTGGGACATATTTGAGGGTAAAGTAGTCTCTTTTCCATGGTGTCAAAACACCAACACACACAAGCCTCTCAATTGCTGGTCATCGTTTGGTGGGGGCTTGAGTGCTTGTCATGATTTTTCGGGTGAAATTCAATGTTTTGATAGATAAGGTTGTGAGAATCTTTGCATCTCCTAGGTTATGGAAACTAGGAAATCGACAGATTCTGGATTAAGGACAATGAATATCTTTGATATTTTTTCAAAGTTTGAAACTGCTTCGCACCGAATTCCACCTTCTTGACATCACTTTGGCAAGCCAAATTCCAACAAGTTGTTGAATAAATAAAAAATGATGTAGAAGGAAAGTGAGCATTCAGAACTCTGCTCTTGGTGTAAGTATATATCAAAGAAGAAAGTTGAATTATGTAGAGGCCAGGGCTAGAGTAGCTAGCATGTAAAACAAGAAAACCATTTGTGAAAATCAGCAAATGTTATAGACTATAGCGATCTTACATACACAAACAACACAATCTGAAATATGTATATAACTCCAGGTAAATAGAAGTACAACAAGCATTACAATACCCAGGAATCCAATTCCAGAGCTTACTTCTTAATCATATTCATATAGAAGCTAAATATATAAGGATAATATAGTACTAGTGGGGGGTTGCTAAGAGAGCTTGTGATTGCTTTTCATAGCGGAAACCGATTTTCTTGGAATCATCTGCAGACCAAACAAAGATACCATGAAGTTGTTGCTCACTCTTGAGCCTGTGACAGGCAGTGAAAAAACCATTCTCAGGGGACAGTCCACCACTCCCATCACTGATAAAACTTGCCAAGACCTTCCCACCATTGTAATTGGAGCTTTGTGTCTTGAAGTAATTGATGAACTGAGACACTGTGGTGCCCTGATCGTATGCGTAAAACTGGAAATTCACATAATCTATCAAGTGGCCATAGCTCTTCCACAGGGCCAAGTAGTGGCTCTGAACTTGGTCGTCATCAAAGGGAGCAATGGAAGCAAATGATATCACTCCATTGTTCTTGAGGGTTGTTATAAGCTTCCCAATGCACTCGGAGAAGGTAGCAGGGTCTGCGCTGAAGTGCTCGTAATCAATGTCAATTCCATCCAAATTGTACTGTTGGATGATGCTTGTGAGAGAAGAAACAGCATTGGAAACCCATGAGTCAATTGAGGACGGCTTGAAGTAAGCAGAGCCACTATTCACACTGTCTCCTCCTAGGCTCAAGGCCACTTTGACATTTGAATGCTGATTTTTGATGGAGGAAACTTGGGAAGGGCTAAGATTATCAGAGTCCCAGAAGACATTGAATTTTCCATTGGTGGGAGAGGAGCCTGAGGGGTCATAATCTATGGCAAATGAGAGAAGGAAGTGGAATTCAACATTTGGGTTTATGGGGACATCAGAAAACTTGACATTGTTGAATTCAGCTCCTATGTATTCTCTGAAGAGATCTGAGTTTGCTGGTGCTGCTTGGATTGATGTGGGGGATGTGAGGAAGGCTTGAAGGAAGAAAAGGGTGAAGATGAGCTTAAGCTTTGGGAGTGCCATATTGCTCATATAATATTGAAGACTGCTAGATGTTTTCGTATTTATGTATGTTTATGAGTGAAATTGAAACTTGTTAGCTGCCAGTTATATAGTGTAGCACTCAGTGTGAATATGCAGATAAGGGATATGTGGAAACAAGCTAGTTGATCTGGTTGTGTGTGTGCAGTGCCGTTACAGTAAGTTTGTTTGTGTAGAGCTTTGTCTTGGCAGGATTGCAAGAGACAAAATTGAGGTAGTCATCTAGATTGTGTATAATTTTTATATTATCTCTGGCTGATAAAGCCCATCAATTGCCAAAGTCATTTGAATTATGCAGTTTAGAAATTTAATATAGGAAATTATCGCGGACAATGTCACGAGAGGTCCTAAATTCGATCCCTCTTGCCCATAATACTTAAAGAGTTCAGTGTGATAATTCATATATGCTCAACTTGCATTATGTATTTTTTTGTTCCCATTGCTGAAAGTGAAGGACAATCTTTGGATTAGTAGGAGGTATAACTCATTCCTAAGCTAATCAAATAACTCTTATCAGGACTCTATATATATATATATATATATATGTGCGCAAATTTTATTTATTTTTAATTATAAAATATGCAAGAGTGTGAAAGTACCACTGAATATTGGGGTGAAATTGTATTTGCTCTTGTGGTTTTTACACTAATAGAATTTTCTCTCTCTTTTTCTCGTCGGATTGGTGTTTCTCTAAGTTTCAAGATTGCCTCTATTTATAAGTAGATGATATGACAACCAAAGCATTCCCTCTACAACATTAACTCATAAAACATGGTATTTCACTCAATTTTGCTCCTTACTATTTACAAATAGTAAGATTGCTTCTTACTATTTGTAAATAGTGACTAAGCTTATAAGTATTTAACTTTTCGTAAGACATGGTATTTCACTCAATGTTGCTCCTCATTTTCAACATATGAGACATCCATCATTTACAACAGAAATGATGAATTTTGGGCCTTCAGATTCACCAAGCCCAAAATAAATAAATCAAACTAAAACAAGGCCCAAAAGAATTTGATAAGTGCCCAAGATACAAGCATGGACATACAAATAGTTCACAAATGATATCAACTATCATGCTCTCTTATGTGAGGAATATGACTGATTGAATTAAGCAGGTCAAGTATAAAGGATCTCTCATTCTCTCTTCCTTGTTTCTTTTTTTTGTCCAAATATTAACAATAGTGGGAATGTAGGATTCGAACACCCGATCTCGAATGCGTAGGTATATAAGACCTCTCATTTTTCGATTTTAAAGTTGTATCAAAAGTCTTTTGAATTGAAATATCACATTTATAAATTAAACCCACACTTGATAGTTAAGTTCATATGAAAACAGACTCCATAGTTAATAAACCGAGGTGCTCAGATCATTGAATTGTTGTGAGAGGTACAGTTATTAGAAACTCAAATCCATTTCCATGCCTTATCCAACTACGTTTCAGAGAAAGAACCAACCTTGGATCCATGAAGCACATGCAGTTACGCTAGTAGGAAAAGCAAGTGCAGAAAAAAAAATCCCATCTGTAAGCAGTAAGCCTTGTATATTGGCATGTGGAGAAGAGAATAAAGAGGATGTATGCACATGCATTGCAGCACTTTAATTAGTCACAAACTAAATTCAAATCAGCATTGATATTATTCTCAACTTAGTTACTTAAGTTCAATGCACTAGATGAGATGGAGGTCCGACTAATGCACCTATTCATGTGCATGGTAAGATTTTAATTCAAAAGATCTCGATACAATTAGTAGTGAATTACTCATTTTTAACTTATAGCTCAATATGATACTTTTTAGAATGTCGAATTATGTATACCAACGTCTATAGCTTGTATCGATTCAAACCACTCCAGCCATATATTTCAAAAAGGTAATGTCCTATCGTGTGTATTGTCATATTTAAATTCCAAAAAAGAAAACATCATTAATGATAAAAACATGGCTGAAAACATAGATGGTACCAACCTTTACTTTTTTTTTTTTTTTTTTTTTTGCATGGATCGAAACATCATTAATGATGAGCTTACCACTTTCGTGGCATTTGTATATATCATTAGCAAACTTTAATTAATGTATTTTAATTTCTAATTTTGTTCAACATCAATGGCCATATATAATTATATATGCTTATTAATTTATATATGTTTCCTTTTTAGTAATTAAATCAAATTCGTGGGGTCTCATTTGTGCGAATGAGAGATCCTATAACGAAGTAACATGGATGCAATGATGTGTGCTAACCAAAAGCTGAGGCTCCGATGCTTTCTTTTTATATCATAAATCATGGGACCTCATCTCTATCTTTTATCTTCCAAGCAATTACAAACCATGTTTCTCGGTACACTTTCTTTTTCTCTGCCTTTTTTCTGTTTGTGTTGATCATCAATAGCCTTGAGCTTGAGGTATAATTAAGTTTTAT